TTGGTGGGAAGGAGGAAAGTTTAGCCATCAGTTCAGCATTTGAAAGTCTCCCTTTTGCTTACCTATCTAACATTGTCTGGCACCTAGTCCTTCTTCTATATCCTTTAGGGACCAAAATGCATTCCTCCTTCTTTATCTACTTGTAGGTGGCATACAGTAAGGCCTGATTCTCTTCTCAAAATAACTTTGTGTACCTGTAGTATTTCAGGCACTGAAAACATGAAATAAGAAATAGTTGTTGATTTTTTGCTTGAATGAATGGATTCAGACCTTACTCACTCTAGACTCTTTCATGAACAAATTCTTTCTGATTACTCCTCGCTGATTTATCTCATGAGGGACCTTGGTAGTGTTAGAGCTGTACTCTACAAAGTTTGGCTGTGGACTCTAAATTCTAGAGGCAGTATAGTATGGTGGATAAGAATGCAAGCTCTAGAGTCATTATTCTTCATATTCAGTATTTTTTAAACATTTATTTATCTATTTTAGTTGTAGTTGGACACAATACCTTTATTCTATTTATTTATTTTTATGTGGTGCCAAGGATTGAACCCAGGGCCTTGCACATGCTTGGCAAGCATTCTACCACTGAGCCACAATCCACCCCATATATCCAATATTTTTTTTCAATATTTATTTTTCAGTTTTCAGCGGACACAACATATTTGTTTGTATGTGGTGCTGAGGATTGAACCCGGGCCACACGCATGCTGGGCGAGCATGCTACTGCTTGAGCCACATCCCCAGCCCCCAAAAAGTCTTTTTTATTTTATTTATTTTTTTGGGGATTGAACTCAGGGCCTTGGACATTTGAGGCAAGCACTCTACCAACTGAGCTATATCCCCAGCCCCTTCCAGTATTTTTAATAAGCGGACTCTCCTCTCAATTCGAAAAATACATGCCAGTTTCTTTCATAACGAATTGTTTAGGTTTCTTAGGTCTCTGTTCTACAGGAGAAACAAAAAGGAGGGTTTTAAATACTACCTTTCTATACTCTTCTCATAGCAGAAATTTGTAAGGAACAACTTAAGTTCATTTATGTTATTTACTTTCTATAACTTTATGTGGAGAAGAACAAATGATAGACTTAATATGTTTGAGCTCGTTTTAGAAGTCCCAATTGCTGGTGCTTCTTTTACCAGTCAGCTTAGGGTTTTTCTGCTCAGTCTGGATAGAAATTACAAAAAGGCAAAGTACAGCTCTTTTAGTGTTAGCAGCTCTAAGCTCTGGGTGCCAGTGGCTCTCAGCTCATGGTATTAGCAGCCATCCCAGCCACTTTCAGTAACTCTCCTAGCAGCTCTCAGCAGCTGGAGCTAGTAGCTCCCAGCACCTCTTTAGCAGCTTTCAGCAGCTGTCTGGGCGCCAGCCATTCGTAGTGCTCGATGTCCTTTCCAGCTTTTTTAATTGATTTCACTTTTTTTAAATACACGACAGCAGAATGCATTACAATTCTTATTGCATATATATTGCAGAATTTTCATATCTTTATATATAAAGTGTGTTCACGCCAATTCATGTTTTTATACATGTACTTTGTTGTTTTTTTGTGTGTATTACAATTCTTATTACACGTGTATACCACAAATTTTCATATCTCTGTTTGTATATAAAGTAGGTTGAGGGCTGGGGATGTGGCTCAAGTGGTAGCGCACTCGCCTGGCATGCGTGCGGCCCGGGTTCGATCCTCAGCACCACATACCAACAAAGATGTTGTGTCCACTGAAAACTGACACAACACTGAAAACTCACTCTCTCTCTCTCTCTCTCTCTCTTTTAAAAAAAAGAAAAAGTAGGTTGACACCCAATTCATGTCTCCATACATGTACTTTGGATAATGATGTCCATCACATTTCACCTTTCCAGTTTTTAATGCAACCAACCCAGCCTGCTCAATCTGAGATAGAAACCATGAATGGGCAAAATAAAACCACCTCAAAGAGGCTTTATTTGTTTTTTTTTTTTTTAAGAGAGAGTGAAAGAGGAGAGAGAGAGAGAGAGAGAATTTTTAATATTTATTTTTTAGTTCTCGGCGGACACAACATCTTTGTTGGTATGTGGTGCTGAGGATCGAACCTGGGCCGCACGCATGCCAGGCGAGCGTGCTACCGCTTGAGCCACATCCCCAGCCCAAAGAGGCTTTATTTGGATTGTGCTACAGAATAAGGGAGAGCAGTGCACAGGATGGAGGTTCCCAGGTGGACCCCATGCTGCTTTTGGGGTATCATGTGCACAGTCTTCTGTCTGCTAATTGCACAATTCTGCTCTCATGCCAATCTGGGGAAGATTGCTGGACTGGCCTGTCCTGGATGTCATGAGTCACCTCCTCAAGGACTGGAGTGGGTACATCTGAAATGACTGTAGGGTAGGCAGAGATATTTGGAATGACTATGGCCAAAGTAAAGTCTTTTGGGGCAGTTGCTGTATATCTTGTACAGCTGCTCCTGAAACTAATGTCTCCTTGGCAAATGTGATAGATGTGGTTACTGCAGCAGCTGCAGAAGTGTCAAGTGACTGGGTGGGGACAGTGGAGCAGCTTTCACTGCAGAAGTAGTGGAATTGATTCAGTCTAATTGATGCTTACATAGAAGCAGTGGCATGGGCTCAGTTTGCCATGATAATTGCAGAAGCAGCAAGATGCTGATTTAGATCCCTACCTTCCCTGACCCAATTGAAGTGCCTGGGATTGGTGCCTGTCATTCCAGATGGCAAGGCACAGACTTGATCCCCCTCTGTGCCTCCCTCTTCTCACTGCCCTGGCATGACTGCCTATCTGTGTCCCAAGTAGTCCTGGTGGTGGATGCAATTGAGCAGTGCACCTGAGGGCAAGGCACAACAACCAGTTGCCCATTTCAACTGGTCCTGTCTCAAAATAAAAATTAAAATGGGCTGGGAATGTAGCTCATTGGTAGAGCATCCCTGGGTCCAATCCTCAGTATCATCCAAAATAAAATAAAAACTTGTTTTTAGGACCATCTCAGATCTACTTAATTATAATATTTATTTCAATGCAATTCATAAATATTAAATTTGGTGTATACAACAATGGTTTATTATGTAGGCATTAGAAATATGTGTGTGAGTGTGTATGTGAATGTGTGTGTGTGTGTGTGAAYGAATTGCTATAATATAATAGACAAGGATCTGGGGATGTAGTTCAACATTAGAGCACTTGCCTAGCAGTTGTGAAGTCCTGGGTTCAGTCCCTAGCACCACAAAATAAAAGTTACAAATATATTATGTAAGAAAATGGCTGTTAGAGCCAGGCACAATGGCATATGCCTGTAATATTAGTGGCTTGGGAGGTCTGAGGCAGGAGGATCATGAGTTCAAAGCCAGCTTTAGCAATGGCAAGGCACTAAGTAACTCAGTGAGACCCTGTCTCTAAATAAAATACAAAATAGGGCTGGGGATGTGGCTCAGTGGTTGAGTGCCCCTGAGTTCAATCCCTGATACTAAAAAAAAAAAAAAGGAAATGGCTGTTAGTGATTAATGATTTAATAAAATAACCCACTTCTTAGCCAGGCACAGTTACACACACCTGTAATCCCAGCAGCTGGGGAGGCTGAGGAGAGGATTGCAAATTTCAAGCCAGCCTCATCAACTTAGCGAGATCCTGTTGCAAAATAAAAAATAAATAAAGAAAAAGGTCTGGAGATGTAGCTCTGTGATTAAACACCTCTGGGTTCAATCCCTGGCACCACCAACAACAACAACGGCACACTTGTATAAGTTTGTTTTTTTTTTTTAATAGTTGTAGAAAGACACCATACCTTTACTTTATTTGTTTTTATGTGGTGCTGAGGATTGAACTGTACACATGCAAGGCAAATGCTCTACCAACTGAACTACAACCCCAGTCCCACACTTATACAAGTTTAGGCTAACCAACAACTTAGTGAGACCTTATCTCAAAATAAAAAATAGAAAAGGACTGAGGTTGTAGTTCAGTGGCAGAGTGCCTCTGTTTTCAATCTCCAGTACCAAAAAATAAATAAATAAAATTAAAGTACTGCTTCTGCATATAAAAAAAAGCCTGAAAGAATATAAACCAAATTGAGTTATGAATGGTATTTTCTTCATTATTCAGGTATTACCTTTGTCTGAACTTTCAAAATGAATAAATGTGTTTTAATTTAATCAAGGAAAAAAAAATAAGCACCCTCTCTTTTTTTTTAAGAGACACATTTGTTTAGGAAAGCAGGTGCATATTCATGGGAGAATGAGAACTATTTTCAGAGGGAGAGATAGCCAGTTCTTCTCATTTTGAATTCACTTATTGATACACACACACACATATGTATATGTACATATACATATATGTATAAAATGAAGACAATAATAAAAATAGAACCTACCTATATTTTGAGAAAGTTTTGAGGATTAAATAACATCACATGTTCACTGTTTAACACAGTGTCTAGACATAGTAAGTGCTTGATAAGTGTTGGCTCCCATTATTATTCTGTTTTTGTGAGGTCMAGACCAATGTACTCCCTCATCCTCAAAAGCCTCTCCCTGGCAAAAGAATAGCAGCAATAGCAATAAATGAACAAACAATAAAACTAGTAGTCTAAAGGCCTTCTGAAGTAACAAAGCAAGATAAAGGGGCAGGCTTTATAGTATACTTGTAATCCCAGTGACTCAGGAGGATCGCAAATTTGAGGCCAACCTCAGCAACCTAGCAAGGTGTTGAGCAACTTAGCAAGACTCTGTCTCAGATTTTTAAAAAATAAAAAGGGTTGAATATATAGCTCGGTGATAGAGGGTCCCTGGGTTCAATCCCCAATACAAAACAACAACAACAACAACAAAAAACCAACAATAACAAACAAAATAAGATAAAGGTTTCCAAAATTCTCCAAATTAGAAGAGACAAAAGAGATTTGAATTAAAGTCCATGATGTTAAATCTTGTTTTATAGAGACAAACTGTAGACTGCATATTTATTTCTTCTTTAATGTAGATGTCTTTCTAATCGTTGCTTATTTCTTTGTAACAGGGCACTTGAGTTATCTTTAGCAGAAGAGAAATGGAGGAGCCATAGAACATTAAGGATGAATTCAGGAAGACCTGAGACCATGGAAAACTTACCTGCTCTCTACACTATTTTCCAAGGAGAGGTATAGTCTTTTGTTCTTTGCAAATCTCTCTTTTACAGTGTGTTAAAAATAGATTAAGGGTGAAAGCAGCTGGATTTGATGTTCCTTATCTACTTGAGACTGTCTTAAGCACTACCGTGTAAATAGAAAGGGCCACAGGAGCATCTCGCCACATGATCTTCCTCTAAGCTGCAGACATCTAACTGCATGCTTGATATCCTCGTTTGGATACGTTATAGCATCTCTAATTTATATTTTAAATTGAATTTTTATTTTTCTCACCAAATCTGTTTTTTTTCCACATCAGCCAATGAAATCACTATCCATTCAGCTACTCAAGCTGGAAATCTGGATATTATCCTTGGTTTCACTTTTCAATTTGATGGTTTTTTTTTTTTTTTAGAGAGAGAGAGAGAGAGAATTTTAATATTTATTTTCTTTGGCGGACACAACATCTTTGTTTGTATGTGGTGCTGAGGATCGAACCCGGGTCACACGCATGCCAAGCGAGCACGCTACCGCTTGAGCCACATCCCCATCCCTTCAATTTGATTTTGATTTTCCCTCTCTCTCCAGTTCATCCACAAGTCTTAATACATCATTTTTTTTAAAACTTTCTTTAGTTATCGGTAGACACAATATCTTTATTTTTATTTATTCATTTTTATGTGGTACTAAGGATTAAACCCAGGGCCTCATGCATGTGGGGTAAGTGCTCTAGCACTGAGCTACAACCTCAGCCCTGTCTTTTCTTTAACATCTTGGCACCTCATTAGTTCAAGCTCCTCATATCGATTGGCCCTTATTCTTAGGAATTTTTAGGATCCCTATTTTTTTTTTTTGGTGCTGGGGATTGAACCCAGGGCCTTATTGCATGCAAAGCAAGCACTCTACCAACTGAGCTGTATCCCCAGCCCAGGATCCCTACTTTTATTGTATCCTTCTTCAGTCTCTTCTTTAAAATCTCACCCCAAATAACCTCTTCACCACTGAGCCACATCCCCAACCTTTTTTTTTTTTTTTTTTTTTTTTGAGACAGGGTCTCGATAAGTTGCTGAAGCTGGTTTTGAACTTGCAGTCTTCCTGCCTCAGCCTCCCCAGCTGCTGGGATTATAGGCATGTGCCACCACACCTGGCAATTACACTGTTTTGACAGTTGGTTCACTGGATATGACTTGCTGGCATTCCTTTGAAATATTGCAGTCCAAACTACAGATACCATGAGGGAAAACAGAATAAATAAGCATCTAAAACTGACAACAGTGATGAAAAAAACAAGCAAGATAGTCTGTGATTACAGATTCAATACAAATAATTAAATTCTCATCATAGAAATGGTTAGTTAATAAATGTGTCATTGTTGAAATGAACTGTGATATGGTTGAACCTCTAGGCAAAATTCAATGACGGAAAAAAGAAGTAAAAAAGAATATAGGTAATGTGCTTCGACCAAAGTAGTGAGTACCTGTATGAATTTCAGTGGTGGTATGGATAAGCAAAATTGGTTGGTTCCTAAATATTCCACTTCTTTTAGAGGTAAAAATGGTATTGACTTTTGTTCCCTTGAATAATTAGTATGTGTGTCATAAATCCATGAATTATTTACTGGTTTGTGAACAAAGACAAGAAAGAAAGATCCCATAAATATGTCAGATAAAGACAAGAAAGAAAGATCTCATAAATATGTCAGATTTCGATAGAGATTTCTGCTTAGCATGCCTAAAATGATGCAACGAGAAACTGGAAGGAGGAAGAAAATGTAATATTGCCAGACCTACTATTTCCAAGATGATATTAGACTTGACATGAGAAATCATATTATTCTTAAATTCCAAGAACAATGGTATCAAAGTAAGCCACGTCATGTGAAACTGACAACATATTGCAAAAAACATGCAATATTTGTTTGAAGTCTTGCTTCTTTTTACCAAAATTAGTTATTGAACAGTTCATGAAAGTCACTTGTTTGTATATTGTTTAATGTATAAAGATATATTTGTCAATGTCCTATTTTATAGGATGACATATTTATGTAAAAGATGTTGTCTTTTACATAATAATCTCTATTTTTGTTCTTAATGATAATAAAGGATATATAAGTTCTAGAGTGTGATTTCCAGCTGATTTTAATGAATGTGTTTCAGTTTTGTTGAAATATTCACAGAATTGAAAACTTGGAACTTTTTTTTTCATTTGTTCTACTTAGTTGTACATGACAGTAGAATGCATTTCAATTGATCGTACACAAATGGAGCACAACATTTCAGTTCTCTGGTTGTACATGATGTAGAGATGCACCATTTGTGCAATCACACATGTACCTAGAGTAATGATGTCCATCTCATTCCACCATCTTTCCTATCCCCATAACCCCTCCCCATCCTCCCTCTTGCCCAATCCAAAGTTCCTCCATTCTTGCCATGACTCCCCATCATAGATCTGTATCCACTAATCAGAGAAAACATTTGACCTTTAGTTTTTKGGGGATTGGCTTACTTCACTTAGCATAATAATCTCCAGCTCCATCCATTTACCTGCAGATGCCATAATCTTATTTTCTTGTAATGCTTAGTAATATTCCATTGTGTATATATAACACAGGTTCTTTATCCTTTCATCTATTGATGGGTATCTAGGTTGGTTCCCCAGAAAACTTGGAATTTAATTGGCTATTTGCATACTTGTGTAATGTCATTCCCACAAGATACTTAAGCTTTACAAGGGCAGAGCTCTGCTTTGCTGTATATCTCAGTTTCAGGTAGATGGGTAGAAAATAGTAGGTGCTTGGGCTGGGTATGTGGCTCAGGCGGTAGCGCGCTCGTCTGGCATGCGTGCGGCCTGGGTTCGATCCTCAGCACCACATACCAACAAAGATGTTGTGTCCGCCGAGAACTAAAAAATAAAATATTAAAAATTCTCTCTCTCTCTCTCCTCTCTCACTCTCTCTTTAAAAAAAAAAAAGAAAATAGTAGGTGCTTGATCACTGAGTGAATGATTAACTTTTGAGGCATTGGATTTCTTTAGAGAGCAAAGGCTTTGGAACTAGACAGACCTGGATTCTAATGCCAGCTCTTTTATTTATTTACTAATGTGGGATACTTAAGGCTGTAAATGTCAATTTTCTCATTTATTAACTGGAGATAACTACTTCCAAAGGATTTCTGTAATAGTTAAATAAGATGTTATCTATAAAAGAGACAGACATAGGAATTCATTAATGGTGTCTCCTTCTTCTTGAAGGGAAGATAAAGCCCCCAAATGTTTTTCAATATCTTAAAAATGCCCGAAGTATTTTAACTGTGTATTCTTCTGGCATTCATTCTTACTTTACAGTTGGTAAAGTTTCACCTCCTAATGTTAAGAGGTCTTTAAGGACAGACTTTGTGATTGTCAGTTATTGATAATAGTTCTTCTGGATATCTGTTGATGATAAATTGATCCCAAATGTAAATGTGTAGGATAATAACATTCTAACAAGTGGCAAATGACTCTGCTATTCAGAGTTTCTGTCGTTTATCTTTATGGCCCATGGTTTCCCCAAAGGTGAGTGAAGTACCAGAACTCAGAAAAAGGAAATGGTAACACTGCAAGTGAAATTGATTTTTCTGATCCTGAAGCCCTCACTTATGCTACACAAAAGAAAGAGTAGTGTTCTCTGCCCTTCACAGACTAAGATTTCTTCCAAAGTAGATCCTGCCTGCAGCCTTTTCTTGTATGAGATGGGGCTTGAAATAGTAGATTTTATATATTACCATCAAGGAAGGTATATATTACCATTGGGTTGAATGTTCAGTGAAATACCATTTTTTGAGTTCTAATTTAGTATTTCAGGAGCATATTTTGGAAAAGAATGCTTTAGAAATGACTTGGAATTAGGAAGAGAAAAATTTCATGATAAATTGGAAGGAATGAACTTTTTTCCAGAATATTCATCCAACAAAAGTAAATGAAGCTGGGCCAGGCGCAGTGGCACATGCCTGTAATCACAGCAGCTTGGGAGCCTGAGGCAGGAGGATTGCAAGTTCAAAGCCAGCCTCAGCGAGGCCATAAGCAACTCAGTGAGACCCTATCTCTAAATAAAATACAAATAAGATCTGGGATGTGTTTCAGTGGTTAAACACCCCTGAGTTCAAACTCTGGTACCAAAATAAATTAATTAACAAATGAGTACCTAATATTTACAAGGAAAATAAATAAGTACCTAATAGTAGATTGGAAAAAATTTTTGAAAGTCTAATATATGTTAGCACTCCAACACATTCTGTGTTATTGAATCTTTCTAGAATTAACTCCTTTTAATGGATAAGAAAACTTGTCAGAATAATGGCCCAATGATAAATAAATGCCAAAGGTGGGATTCTAAATCTTTCCAGGTCTATGGTTTTTTGTTTTGTTTTGTTTATTTTTTAGGTGTACATGGACACAACACAATGCCTTTATTTTTTTATGTGGTGCTGAGGATTGAACCCGGGTCTCGCCGGTGCTAGGTGAGCACTCTACCGCTGAGCCACAATCCCAGCCCTCCAGGTCTGTGTTTTGCTAAACTACAACAGAGGTTGTCCAATTGTATGTAAATATATGAAGAAACAAAATTTTATTAGAATACCTTTGCTGGACATAGTGGCATACACATGTAATTTCAGCTATCTTGTAGTCTGGAGCAGGAGGATCCAATATTGAGTCCAGGAGTAAGGTGATTTGGAGTCTGACTTCCAAATGCTGCTGTTGAGTTTGTTAGATAATTATACTCTTTAATAATGTTGTTGTACAACTTAACGAGAGCCTGTTTCAAGAAAAGAAAAAAGGCTGGGGATGTAGCTCAATGGTAAAGTGCTCTTAGCTTCAATCTCCAGGACAAAAATTAAATAAATTTGTTTGACTGAATTTAGGTATAGGAAGAACGTAGATGGTAAATGCGTTTTTTTTTTTCCAGTCATTTGTTCGTACAACTCTATCATAGCATTTATCACAATCTTGCAATATTATTACTTGTATATGTGTCTCCAGTAGATTGTGAGTCACTAGAAGGTAAAGGCCAGGATTCTCTGATWTTCTCACACATCTTGGTAAATACTTCATATTCTTTTTTTTCTTTTTTTTAATAGGCTGGGCAACTTTTTGGGGGAGTGGTATGGGGGACTGAACCCAGGGGTACTTTACCACTGTGCCACATTCCCAAACCTTTTTAATTTTTACTTTGAAACTATGTCTTGCTAAGTTATTTAGGGCTTCACTAAGTTGCTGGCCTTGAACTTGTGATTCTCCTGCTTTAGCTTCCTGGGTCACTGGGATTACAGATGTGTGCCACCATGCCCAGCAATCAGTATCTTTTTGTAAGTTGTCTTTATTTCACAGTGCCTGGTATTGTATCTTATAGTAGATGGTGTATAAATACTGGAATAAAATTGTATCAAACCTTGTAAGACCAGTTGTCCTCAAAGAAATTGGTGGTATAGCTCATATCCTAGCAGTTCTCTTAGTGGGCTCAGCAGGGATGCTGGTCCCAGTGATTGAATAGACGCGAATCCAACATTCATCCTTTTCTTATCCTTTAAGACATCATGTGCCAGTGTCTACTAAGCGTGGTAGTGGGTATAAACACAGCAGTGTGAGTTGAAATCTGGCTCAGCGTTGCTACAGTGGAAAAAAAAATGCTGTGGGGATGTTGGTGTGGTAAAGGGGAAATACCATTTGATCTAAAAATAAAAATAAAAAATCTGTTTTATACCTGGTTATGCTACTTTCTAACTTTGTGACTTGGAACAAGCAACTTAAGTCTCTGAGCTTCAAACTCATCATTTACATTGTGGGGAGAATGAATTTCAAGGCCATTGCTACTTTAATCTGAAGGTAGGAAATTCATTTTACCCAATACTTGAATTCATTTGAGATAATTATTGAATTTTTTTCCTCTGAGCCATTTGAGTAATTATTCTCGGGACACCAGGCAGTCTGTGTGATCATCTACAGCAGGTGCCATCCTGTTAATTTCAACTTTGAATGTACCCTAGGAGACACAGTGATGGAAACACCTGGTGCAGGAAACAGGCAAGAATACCTTTTCCTAACTGAATGGTTGAGTGCATTTATTCTGGAGCACATTAACCTTTTCTTTTGGGAGAGGCCAAATTAAGGTCTGTTATTACCTCTAAAGACCATAATGTGACACTGGAGCTTCAGGATTGAAAAGTGAGATTGTTTTCATTTATGGCAGCAAGGCGATTTAGGCTCTGACTTCCAGATGCTGCTGTTAAGTTTGATAGATAATTATACTTTTTAATAATGTTGTTATTATACAGCATGAGACAAGAAGCCCTTTTTCTAGACTCCTGGAGCAAAAGCCAATGTACCTTTGTTTGATCCATAGAGAAGGGATCTTCTCTTATTTTAATTAAAAATTGAAAGGCTTTATTTTCTTTATCCAGGGGACTCTTTTCATAAAAACAAATTATAAACTTTCGTAAGCACTTAGTGTCTCTGGTTCTCTCTCTCTCATTTGAAAAATGACAGGTTTGGACCAGCCAATCTCTATAAAGTCCTTAAAGACCTTTTTCTGGCTCTACCTTGCCTTGATTTTAAGTATCTGCATGATTGTACTGTTTCTTTGAGACTACTTGGTTCTTATTTTTTTTAAAATATATTTGTAGTTGTCAGTGGACCTTTATTTTATTTATTTGTGTGTGGTGCTGAGAATCGAACCCAGTGCCTCACACATGCTGGGCAAGTGCTCTACCACTGAGCCCCAGCCCCAGCACCCCTGGTTCTTACTTTAGGATATTCTTCATCAGTGTAAAATGGAAGCTTAGAACTATTGGTTTGTAAACCCATTCTTCATGTTGTGTCTTTTGGAGAGTTAATTCAGGTGCTCTGTTCCAATATACCCATTAAAAAATGAGGGGAGCCCTGGGGATGTGGCTCAAGTGGTATCGCGCTCGCCTAGCGTGTGTGCGGCCCAGGTTCGATCCTCAGCACCACATACAAACGAAGATGTTGTGTCCACCGAGAACTAAGAAAAAATAAATAAATGTTAAAATTCTCTCTCTCTCTCTGTCCCTCTCCCACTCTCTCTTTAAAAAAAAAAAAAAATGAGGGGAAGGGCGGGGGATGTGACTCAAGCGGTAGCGAGCATGCGGCCCAGGTTCGATCCTCAGCACCACATACAAACAAAGATGTTGTGTCCACCGAAAACTAAAAAATAAATATTAAAAAATTCTCTCTCTCTCTCTCTCTCTCTCTC